AATACAGTTCCTCATGTTGTGGTGACCCCCAACCATAAAATTATGTTCGTTGCTACTCTATAACTGTAATTTTGCTACTGTTATGAATCGTAATGTAAATATCTTTTTGTTTTCTGATGGTTTTAGGTGACCCCTGTGAAAGGGTCGTTCAACCCCCAAAGGGGTCACGACCCACAGGTTGAGAACCGCTGTGTCAAAAGAGCAGCATTAGGCTTTAATTTAATAAAACGGTCTTTTTCATCTGTTTTCACTGTTACTTTATTGTAAGGAATTCTCATAGCTACACACACACTCGGAAATGCAGAGTGGGTGGAAAATAAGAAACGTGTACGGGAGGACAGGGAGACAACGTCAGCTGTGTAAAATTTCACACCTTTTAAAATGCAAACATATGAAGGTGTTATCTATTCAGAGAGCTTAATAAGCTTAATATTTTCAAATAAAATGGCAAGTCTTCTCCCCTTTCAAATAAATGAAACAAAGGCAGTGCCTAGGAGTAGGGGGGACATGTCACCTGTCCCGGGCATGAGGTTCCACTGGGAGGCACACCACACCGTTGCGGTCTTGGGGCGCGGTGAGATGTCTGTCACCCCCGCTGCCCTGCCTGTCGGGTGCCTGGATGGAGACTTAGTCTACACGGTACCCTGCGTCCCTGGCCCCAGCACCCTTGCCGGCCCCGGATGCCCTTGTTTATGGCCGGTCCCCTAGTGCAGCCTGACACCCACGTGCTTGTTGAACTGGGTGCCAGAGCTCTTCAGCTCCCACACCTGGCTGGTTTGGAATCGGGCACATCTGTGTGCTAAGAGGTGCTGTGGAGAGCTCTCCGCTTCTTGCCTCCGCCCTTCTGGGCCAGTGGTCACCGCCTTGGGGACCAGGCAGAGCCAGCTTGGCCCCGTGCTGCTTACCCCCTCTGGCCGGGCCCCAGGAGCATCTGAGGTCCTTCGTGTACGAGTGTGGAAAGAGGGTCATGTTTCTCTTTATTTAGTTTTAAATACACATATAACACACCTCTTTTCTCTTTGAAAACTGAGAACATTGCATACTAACTAAGGCGACCCTGACCCCCGCACCCTCAACCCCACCTCACCCCCCCAAACACGTATCACTGGGCACCCACCAGACAGATTCTTAAAATTCGCTCGTACATCCACATGCTGGAACCCACAGAAAACAACAGTATCGTTTTGTGTGGCTTAATTTTACACGAATTGTGTTGCACTGCATGTGTCATGCTGCAAATTGCCTTTTCCACTCAACGGTATGTTCTTGAAACAGCTAGAGGTCTAACTCATTCCTTGTCGTTGCCATATGGCTTTGCACTAAATGAACGCACACATTTTTTCAGACTTTCCTGTTACTGGGCATTACAGACCCAGATCCTGCCGTCACCATCCTTGTTTGTGGCTCTTGGCCCATGAATGTGCTTTTCTTAGGAACATACCAACTGCCGGGTCATACAGTGTGACACTTTCAGTTTTAATAAATAATGCTAATTTGCCCTTCAAAGTGGCTATGTCAATTGATTCTCCTCCTAGCAGCGTTTGAGAATGTCGGTGTTTTTGTTGTTTTTTTTTGTCCTCACCCCAATAACTGATGTCATCAGACTTTTTTGTTTTTGCTAATCCGATGAATAGAAGATGGTAACTTGTTTTGTTTCCTGATTTCTCATGAGGGTGAGCACCTTTGTGTGTGTTTAGTGGCAGTCCCCATTCTCTTGTCTGTGCCTGGCCTGTGGGGGCCCTTCACATTTACTGCTTTATTCATCTTGAGCCTCTTAGAGATATTTTGCAAGTATTTCCCCTAGTCTATTTATTTATAAAATCTAGTCTATTTATTTATAAAATATTTTGTTATACACGAGTTAAATTTTCATTTTAATGGAGTTAGTTTACCAGCCTTATGTTTATTTATTTGTATGTATTGATCCTCAGTTCTTTTTAAAGAAATGTTGTGGCGTCCTAGGCCCCACCCCTTTGGAAGTGAGGTTGGTGGGAGAAGGTCCCACGAGATTCAGGTGGGCAGCGAGATTGGGGCAGTGTACGGATGACCCGTCATTTACACTGGCCTCCCCCGGCCACAGCCCACTCCTGAGAGGCAGGCAGTGGGGCTCATGAGACTGGCACATGCACCAACATAGCTGCCAGCCTCCAGATCCTGCCATGTGCCCGAGTCCCTCCGGGCACCTCAGCCTCCCGCATGGCTCCCCTGCCTCAGAGTGACACCCACAGGTGCCTGCAGGAAAGCAGCAGTGCAAGGACAGCCTGGGGGCGGAACTGGGTTCCATTCAGCAGCTCTCCCCTCGGTCTTCCTCTGTGCAAGACACCATGGCCATCCCAAGGTGACCAGACAGCCCCTCTCCTCAGGAAGGAGCACCCCCAAGGGCTGAGGGCTGAGGTGGTGAAGGAGTTGACACCGAGAGGCCCGCAAGCGAGTCACCCCAACCAGCCACCCGCGCGGTCCTTGGTTTCCTGAAGGACACGCCTTCTCTTTAGTCCTCAGAAGCTGCTGCATTTCTCCTTAACGGCCCCACGTGTTCTGAAAAGTCAGGCCTCCTTCCCTCTCAGCCCTGTCTCACGGAGGCTGTTGCTTTTAGTTTTCTTATGAAGTCTCTCACAGGGCTTTGATGTCTCAATTGCATTGCCGAAAGTTGTTCCGCTTTGGGGTTTAGCCCTTCCTTTTTTTGTTCTTTGTGGCAGAGGTGGTGGGTCTCCCCCACCACCCAAGCCCCTGAGGGCTGCAGGGCTTGATGAGGGGGCTGCCTGCTGACACCAATACCCAATGGCCCTGCCTGCTTTCCCAGGCACGCCCTTTGTGAATGTGGGAAAGAAGGCAGAATTGTCCTACTTAGAGGGGGGGGAGGGGAAGTGGGGGNGGGGGGGAGCCAGGAAAAAAAGGTAAAGGAAAAGCACCCCATATTCGCTAGGTTTTCTATTTTTAAAAAGTAAAAGATTTCTGAGGAGCACTACAATAAACTCTACCTATCACAAAGAAAATGTTTTGTAAGAATGAATATGATGATTTGCATTTCTGATGCCAAAGAAGACAAGATGCCTTCCCGTATGGAACTAGAAATCCTAGATGAAATAGTTTTCAGAAACCTGTTTTAAATACTTGGCTGGAGTGTTGGGGAAGGGAGGAAGATTCTTGCCCTCGATAATGAGAAAGTCCAGTCCACAGAGTTAAGCCTGTCTGGAGGTGGTGTTTGCTGTGGGGGCATCTGGGTATCCTAGGTGGGGAGAATAGACCAGCATAATGCCTGGAAACACCCAGAAGATGGACTAGAAGACGCCTCCATGAAGCCAGCATCCCGGATAGGTTATGCACTCAGAGGGTTAAACTGAGGTGTGTGGGGGGAGGTGATGCCTGAGAGAGGAGAAATTATCTATCATCCCTTAGTTCTAAATGAAAAGTAAAAGTGGGGGGCGGAGACCTTGGCGAATACTTGAGTCCAAGTTTGTTATCACGTGTTTGGGGCCAAAAGTGATACCATCTGTGTATTGCCCCCCCCCACCACCACCACCAATACATTTAAGCCAAATATTAGATCAGTGCTTCTGATACAACTTCCTGGCATGACTGAAGCGTTCCACAAGTAGAATGTCGTTATGCACAACTAAAACTCAAACTGGATACTTAAAATGGGTGAATTTTGTGATAATATAAATTATATATACCTCAATAAAGCAAACCACCTTTCATTCTTCTAATCAGAGACTCCTTTTAAGGTTTGAGTATGTTTCTCTGCACTTGCATTTCTTTGTAGCAATATCTTTTTTTAAACGTATCAAAATCATAATGAGAATGTTTTTACCCCCTTTTTCATTGAAAATTTTAATGTCTCTTGCAATGTCATGGCAATTATTTGTCAGTAGGGTTTTTTGCTTAGGTTTTTAATGTGCATTTCAAAAGTACATCTTGAATACTTTTCTCATTTTCAAACAATTTCAAGCTATACAGTGGTGTATAGAGCAAAAATGGAGTTCTCCCATTGATACTCCCCCTCCCCCTGCCAACCACACACACACACTCCCACCCCCTATTCTCACTTCTCCCCATAGTTAACCACTGTTCACAGTTTGGTTACACATAATTTTTAAATGGGTGTCTAATTTTCCATGTGATGGGGAAAAAACTCATACTCAAAGTGTTCCCCTATTCGGGGGCATTTAGGTTGTTTCCTGGTTCAGCTGTTTCTTTTAAAACACGTAGCCGAGGATTCCTTGGAGGGAAGTCAAAGTGAACTGTAGATTTCATGGTCCTGCATTACTCTGGTGATTTCGTAGCCATCAGGACAGGCGTTAAATTAGGCATCAAATTTGGGGATAACTCTCACGTAAGAGACGGGACCCAGCCTACGCTGAGGACCCCATGCTAAATGCTTTACCTGCCTGTTCTCATTTAATGCACCAAACGTCTCATGGTAGGGTATATTATTCCCATTGTACAGATGGAAAACTGTGGTTCGGAGGGACTGAGTGTGTTACCCAGGATCATACACCATTTAGTGCAGAGCTTGGCTCTAAGTTGCCAGACAGCAGCTTGAGAGCCTGGCGGTTCTACAATGGAGTAGGGAACGCTTGCTGTCTTCACTTAATTTAGGCAACCACCATCCCAGTATAAACCTCTAATGGTCTGCAAACTGAGATTCTCGGTTTGTTGTGGTGTGTTTGTATGTTTGGCTCCAGTTTGAGCACCTACTGTACAGTAAGCATTGCACGAATGCTGTATGAGCTCTGTACCAGTCAGTCCTCAAAACAGAGCGTTGAGAGGGATGGATAGGATCCCTGTTTTTCAGATGAGCACTCTGAAACCCAGAGAAGTGAAGAAAGTTGCCCAGTGTGGCTCAGAGGAGGCACTCAGGCCCAGGTGTGTGTGACTCCTAGCCTGGGCGCTGACCACTGGGCTCTGCTGCTCAGCAGAACACAGGTCAGCTTGAGTGTCTCCATCAGGCTGGGCAGCCGAACGGCCACTCACTCTGCTCTCTGTCTGCCTCCTCCCAGACAACAGCGACCTGATCGCATGCACAGTGATCACTAAGGATGGCGGCATGGTCCAGCGGTTCCTGGCTGTCGATATTTACCAGATGAGTTTGGTGGAGCCCGATGTGTCCAGGCTCGGCTGGGGAGTGGTCAAGTTCGCGGGCCTCCTGCAGGTACGAATTCCCTAAGCTCTTCTCGGTTGGCTGTACAAACACACACAAGATAGAAGCATCTTTACGATGTCCTTTTCTTTGTGTGTTTTTTTTATATATATAGTTAATTTCTAATGACATATAAGGACTGCATGAGCAGATTATCATTGAAAAAAGTTAAAATATCTCCCAGATACAGGCCAGGTACTCTTTGACGGAAATCCAGTTCCCCTCCTCCCATTATCAGTAATCCTTCCAGACCTGGCTCTCTGCCAAATGCATATATAACTATAACTACTTGTCCTGTTTTTGAAAATCGTGTACATAATGCTTGAGAGGGGATACATGTGCGTGTTTTTTATAGTGTTGCACGTATTCCCCACTTGGCTTTTGGCAGTCTGTGTATCTTGGCGATCTGGCCATGCTCACATATGCAGACACACTGGTATTCTTTGAACTGCTGCCCAAAGAAGCCAAGGCATCGTTAGCCAGCCAGTGCCCTGTGGCCGTTTCCAGCCTTTTAAGCTTTACAATCATTGCTGCCGCGAACACAATTAACCTTACTTCCTTGTGCACCTGGGCAGGGGTTTCCCTAGGCAGGTCCCAAGAAGTTGGGGTGTGCCTATTTTCGGTGTTCCTAGACACTGCCAATTCCTGTCTAAGATGATAGTTGCCGCTGGCGGTGTGTGAGAGTTCCCTTGTCCTCACGCTTCTCCCGCAGAGCCGGCATCTGAAGTGCCACGGCCAAGTCAGGACTTGGGTTTTCTCAATGATGCTTGTCTCTACGATGGGTGACTAATGCCAACTGGTTGGTTGAATGAAACGTAGACACAAGAGTTGAAACCAGCCTCCTAGCTCACACCTCCCGTCAGAACCCCAGTCCCTGGACATCCAGCAAACTCGTCCAGGCCCGAGACTTGCCCCACTCTGAGGCTGTGTTTTCCTTGCTGGGCAGGCCTGGGTGCTGGCAGTGCCATGCTTAGCTGACCCACGTCCACCTCTCCACACTGACCTGCTGGCAGCAGGCCGCTCTCCCAGAGAGCGACCCATGTGTTTGAAGAGGCTGTTGCCACCTTTCCCCCAACCACCACTTTTTAAAGATCTTTCCATTTAAAAAAAAATAATAAAAAGCATCTTTTACTGAGGGTGATATGAGAAACGACGATATGAAGAATCTTCCACTTATAAAAAGACTTCCATATACGCGATCGTCTATTAGGTGACTCAATGCTTCTTATTTATCTAGGCTGATGATCAATTTCCTGTAGAATTTAGTGTCAGGAAAGTGTTTTTCTCCCTCGAAGGATTAATACATGTCCTCTATCAGACAATGAAAGCCACATAAACCTTTTCTTTTGGTCGTCTTCCAACAGACACTATTCGTCAGACCGTTACGACGTGCCAGCCTCTCCTTTTAAATGCATCCTATCTCACCTAATTCCCACTGTATCATCTCGAGGCAGGTGTTACTTCCAAACAGCCAGATTTAATGCCTACGAACAGCTACTTTTCTTATTCCATCAGCCCTTCTCCACATTGTCCCCGCCTGCCCTTCCTGTCTGATGTTCATGCCGGATCTCCTGCCTCTTTTATCTTAAATCACCCCAAACCTTTGTGAGAAGCAGATTCTTTACAGAGAACCCACTCTGAGGTTTTCCATTGGCTGCATCCTTGTTACGCTTACCTATAGGTGAGTTCCCTCTGCACCTTTCAAACGCAGCTGTCTTCACATGCCTGCTAAGAGGCCCTCCCTTGTCTTTCTCGGAGTTCGCTTTTTCCTCTAGGGACCAGGAATTCTTCAGACATAACCATGGGTGCCAGCGATGCCCCCTTCTTTAGACAAACAAGGAAGAAATCGCTCCATAGATGAGTCAGTATATCTAAGATCGTGCCAGATGGGGTAGGAATTTTGGGTTATCACTGGGTTCTCAGAAGGATTTTGGAGTTTGACTGTTGGGCTCCCCGAGGCCCCTTGAAAAGGCTGGTGCACCCACTTCTTCCCTCGCTGACTCAAGTCCTCTCGGGACCCGTAGCACCACCATGCCAGCATCCTCCCCTTCTGAGCGCTCTGCCCTTCCCTGTAGGCCTGCTCTGGTTGGTGTCTGTCCTTGACTCTTAGACCCAGGAGGCTGATGGTCTCCTTCAGAGCAAAAGCAAAGTTGAAACGGGGGGGGCCTCTTGTAGCTGAGATGTGGATCCCACAGCTTCTGAGCAGTCGCCCTCCTCCTCGACCTGATGAGCCACTTTCTTCCGCCCCGTCCCCCCACAGGACATGCAGGTGACCGGCGTGGAGGACGACAGCCGTGCCCTGAACATCACCATCCACAAGCCTGCGTCCAGCCCCCACTCCAAGCCCTTCCCCATCCTGCAGGCCACCTTCGTCTTCTCAGACCACATCCGCTGTATCATCGCGAAGCAGCGGCTGGCCAAGGGCCGCATCCAGGCCAGGCGCATGAAGATGCAGAGGATAGCTGGTGAGTGGCCGGCCAGGCCGGGCGTCCCCTGGGCCCCGGGACAGAAGCAGCCACAGGGCTTGTCCGCGTGGCTTCTGCCGCGGACCCCGAGAATCCCCATAGCTCCTCTAGAAGAGGACACATAGGGTTCAGGAATGAATCGTGTTTTGGTGAGAATGGAGAATCCGCTCAAAATTTCCCACTTCCTAACTGTCTGAGTTCTAGAGTTTCTCGGGCCGGGAGAGAAGGAGAGCCCTCCTGACCAGGCGAGTGGCTACGAACAGGCAGGCGTTGTGGGGGACAGCTGTCCTCACTCCTGCGCACATCAGTTGTCCCGCTTACGTTTACCAAATGCCTCGCCATTCCGCCACCACCTTCGCTTCTTAAAATGGCCCTTGAGACCAGCAGGGCCTGTTCTGCCCATTTTGTAAATGAGTAAACTGAGGCTCAGTGACTTGCCAAAACTCACCCAGGCAGCTAGTTGGAAGAACCAAATGCAGAACTTCCTACATCCCTTCCCCGCTCTCATGAGAATCCACCCCGCTCGGTGAGGGGGCCATGACCCAGCCCTGAAAGGAGAAGCCATGTTACATTTCACAGGGATCGTGCAAAATTTTCGAGGAGGCCCAATGGTGCCCAGTGTTGGGAAGGCCCAGCTTTCTTAGACATAAAGGCACTGAGATGAGTGTGCTGTGTTCATCAGGGCGGAAGGCACAGCATTCGCCTTGGGAAAAGCCATTGTGTCAACTCCTAAAATTTTAAACAGTCCTTCTCGAGATACCAGTGCCTTTCGGTTCAAGCACTGCCGTTCATTCTGGTGTGGCCGCTGGGAGGCTTTCCCCTGGGGGAGGAGAACTTTCTCCAGCGATTACCTAAACATAAAGGTGGGAGGGCAGGGTTTCTGGACGGTGTGGATGCTGGTGTTACCTGCGCTTGCCCCATTGAATCGTGCAGGCCCGCATCCTATATAGCCTTCCCCTTATTTCTCACTTAGCTGCAGCTTGGCCTGCAAAATCATTACAGAAGCATTTTGTAATGTGCAAAGTGACTTAAATCACTCAGTCCTTTCTTTTAAGATTTATTTTCAGAGGTTTTTTTTTTTTGCTTTTTTTTTTTTTTTTAATGTAAAGCCATTTCTCAGAGCAGGCATGAAGGCTAAATATTTCATTTGAAAATTGAGAATTATGCCATAAAGTGGCTGTGAGAACTAATTCCTTGGGTATTTCTTCCATTGATTTTAAAAAGGCCCTCCAAATTGCTATATCATGAGATTTGTTTATGGAAGGGAAGAAGTAACTGTGACAGATGAACACACACTCATAAATATACAAATACATATGCCTATATCTCCTCTCTCTCACACTCTTCCCCGTGCACGTGTGTGCAGACTTTCAGGGCGGGATGGGCCCCAAGTGCCTTGGGGTCTGATACGGCATCTGAGGCTAAGCCTCGGCCTTTTGTGTATGGAAGCCGAGAGCCCGAGATGGAGCCTGGCCCTGCGTCCGTTTCTGAACCCCTCACCAGGACCAACTGTGTTTTGAGCCTCAGGCAGGACCTGGGGTGTCACGCTGGTCTCCCCAGCCCAAGGCTGCCGCCGGCTGCCTGCTTGGCATTGCCCAAGGGTTGTGCCTGGGAAGGCCACGGACACATCGACTACGAACGCCTCACCCAAAGTCTCGTCACCGACCCTCCCATCCCACGCACTGAGCATGACCTGGGGTTTGTTTGAACGTAGCCCTCCTGGACCTCCCGATCCAGCCGACGACCGAAGTCCTAGGGTTTGGCCTCGGCTCTGCCTCTTCCTCCCAGCACCTGCCTTTTCGCTTCTACGACCAGTGCCGCCGGGGCAGCAGTGACCCCACGGTGCAGCGCTCTGTGTTCGCATCTGTGGACAAGGTGCCAGGTAAGCCGGCCCCACCCCGCGCCACCGCTTGTCCCGCTCCTGTGGGGGTCCCAGGACTTTCTCTGCATTGAGCTGCTTCTCCCTTCTCAGAAATCCAGCCAGTTGGAAGCACCAGATAAATTTCTTAGAATTTATCCAAGTATAGCACCAAGATGAGACACAAGCCCCGGAAAGGAATCTTGGCTTTCTCTTTGGTGTTCTGCTGCCGGGGTTTGGTTTTCCAAAGATTTGTGGGGGTGTGGAAGAACTTCTCAGAATTAGGACTAAGAAGTTTCTTGGAGATTTCTTGGAAATACTTAGATGATTAGTAATGAGGTTGTGGGAGAGTAATTTCCTTTTCCATGTAGGATGACTAGAAAGAGATAGTACGTGTGGTTCCTGTTACAAGCCCCCGAAGAAGGGAGACTTCAGACGAAGGCCCCCTGCCCACAGGGTGGCTGCCAGTGTCTCCTCTCTGGGGGCCTCTCTGACCACTTCCACCAGAGCTCATCTCTGACCTTTTCTCCCCTCTCTCAAAAGGGAAGCGTGAGGCGAGGGTTCAAGGTCTGCTCGGAGGAGCAGAAGGAACTGCTTCGGCAGAGGGGCGGGCGGGTTGGCTCTCCGCTTCATGTTGACATGTCTGATTTAAGTAAATCCATATGCACCCCCATCCCTCGAAAGAGAACCTTGCTCTTGATTACAAAACTCCAGAAAACTGGCCCAGCGTCCCCTGCAACTGAACCTCCCCACAGTGAGGGCTTTGAACTTCAGTCACAAGTGTTACAAAATGTTTTCAGAAGCAGTTATCAATTTAAGAATGAAACGCCGGCATGAGAACCTGTCCAAAATCAGAGTCCTTGTATCCCTTCCACCCCGATCCATTGTTTTCATTCTTGGATTTGATTAATTTATTTTAGAAATATTTACACTATAAGCATATGATAAATTTTAAGATCCAAACAGGACATAATAAAATGAAAAGTTTCTTGGCTCCGGAAGTAACCACTTTTAACAATTTCTTACACACCCTTCCAGAAATGTTGTTTCTTTGTGTGTCATAGCTCTGTCTTTGCTTCTCTGTTTTTACACTGGGGTTTATACCACATATGTGATTCTGCGCCTGGCCGTTTTTACTTAACGATAAGTCAGTGTTACATGTCAGCATATGTAAATCGACTTCACGCTCATTAATTGTTACTATTTTATCATATGGATGGACCAAAAAACCTTTTAGAACATTTGGTATTGATGGACACTTGGGTCACCTCCAGTGTTTAGCTCTTCCAGGGTCACCGTGAACACCTCGGGATATCTTTCTGTAACTGTGCAAATCTTGCGAGTCTGTGGGATAAATTCCTGGCAGTGGGTGTGCAGCGTCAAAGGGGAGGTTTTTCCTCTTGACATCCGTAGTCCCAGCATGCACTCTGGGAGAAGTGCAGTGGGTCACGCTGCTAGCCACAGCCTGAGGCTATTTTCATTCTTAAAACCAGCCTTAGGCTACGAGACTGATTGTAGCACTGTCCCTGTTCTCGCTGTGAAATGTCAGATTGTTCTGCCTGCCCCAGGGTCTGGAGGATTCCTTGTTAAATGGCCTCCAGGCTGTTTCATGTTCTTTAGAGATGGCCACTAAGCAATAGAAATGCTGACCATGAGTCTCAGTTAACTAAATGCAGACTGGCCTGGTAAGAGTGCCCCTCTCTCCTTTCCTTCTCTCTCTCTCTCTCTCTCTCTCTCTCTCTCTCTCTCTCTCTCTCTCTGTCTTTTTCTTTTCTTTCTTTCCACACAGTTGTAATTTTATTATAATATTTCTATAAGCACCACTCTGTAATTTTTTTATTGAGATATAATTGACATATAACATGATATTACTTAAGAAATCATTTCTTCAGGGTCATCGGGGCTTCTTTCAGCTCAGGAACTAATGGGTTAAGGAGAAAAGCCCAGGCCTTATTTCCGTTCCATGCTTTTTGGAACAAGACACGTGTAAAATAAATAGAGCCAAATGTCACGCTCTTCAGGATCTGCGTAATCGCCTCTCTGTTTGCAGCGGGCTGTACAGTGAGTTGCTGCATGCATCTCCCACCCTGCCCGGGTTCCGGTGCTGGGTGTGGCAGTGTCCGCGGTGGCCGGGGCCTGCCCAGCAGAGGGGCCAGCATAGCTAGAATGCCCAAAGTCCTGTGCTGGTCCCAGGGTCAGAGTATGTGAGGCTGGGCCCATTGGGACTACGGCAAGTCAAAGGTAGCTGCTTGAAGGTGGCCGTCACCCTTTGGCTATGTCAGTGCCCTGGAAGTGCCACCCGGGGGTGGGAAGCGGTGGAGACGTTCTCACAGATGTGCCCCCCAGAGCGACTGCTCTGGGCCCCTGGGGAGAGGCGCCTGACTCCCCTCGTGCCTTGGCTTGGGTGGGAGACGTGGCCTGTAGAGCAGGTTGGAACCATTGAGCCTCAGCGTGACTCAGAGAGAGGGAGGGACCCTGCCTGGCTCCCACCCGTCTCATCACCTGCTGGCTCACAGTCAGCTCCACAGCCACCCGCATCTCAGCATCATCCGTAATGCTTCTGTTTCCTCTCCCACACCCACTGGCCTGCTCTGCTTACAGAACACACCAACCTTGTCTCCCCTCCCGGCCACCAGCATCTCTCCCTGGGTCATGGCAGCAGCATCCTCAGTATCCTCTGACCTCCAGTCTCACCCCCTACCTCCCATCGAGCCAGAGGGATCTTTCTAGAACACAAGTCAGATCACACCATGCCCCTGCCTGCAACCCTTCCATATCTTCCAGTTGCACTTAGAGCAAAATCCAGATCCCACTCTGATCCGTGTGATCGTTATGAGATTGGCCCCAGCGGCCCCTTAGACGCAGCCCCCCAACCTCGCGCCATCCCTTCCCGTCATACCAGCCCCCGCTGGTCCTCTGAGTACGCACTTCCCAAAATTTTGGCCTCAGGACACCTTTTTACTCTTTTAAAAAGTATTGAGGAATCGAAAGAGCTGTAGTTTATATGGATTATATCCACTGATATTTTCAGATTAGAAATTAAAACTGAGAAATGCTTTAAACGTTTACTTATTTATTTTTTTAAAAACCCATCACATGTAAATATAAATAACTTTTTTTTAATGAAAAACAACTCTGTTCTCCAAAACAAAATTAATGTTTTGGATTTTTGCAAATCTCTCTAATGTCTGTCTTAATAGAGGACAGCTGGATTCTCGTATCTGCCTCTGCTTTCACTGTGTTGTGATAGCATCCATTATATGGCCTCTGGAAAACTCCTGTGTACTCCTGGGAGAATGGAAGTAAAAGGAAGGTGCTATCTTGTTATGTTTTTGAAAGTAGTTCTGACCACGGGAGGCCCCCAGGGTTCCCCAGACCTCCCTTTGAGAACCACTGCTCTAAATCACTGAGCTCTCTCCTGCCTCAGGACCTTTGCACTGGATGTTCTTCCTCAGATCTCTGTGTGGCTGCCTCCCACAAATTGATCAGGCCTCAGTCTGCATGCCACCTCCTCAGAGAGGCCTTTCCTGCTCACCCCCCAGAAAAGGTACCCCCTCCCCTCCATCACATTAGCCTGGCTTATTGTCTCCATGGCCCTGGGTTCTCTACCTGGCTGACATATCTGTGTAGCTGGCCGTGGTCTTTCTCCCCCATGGAGAATGTCACATCCGTGGGGACCAGATTTGTCGTGCTCACCGTCGTATCTCAGTGCCTAATGCTGCCCTTCATTCATTAGTTGCTGAAGGAAGAATATGCACCGCCTTGGAGCAGTTCCCACATAACACCTCCTCCTTGTGTGACACCAGGAACACGAGGACGTTCCCTATGGGGCCCTCGACGTTGGGCGCTTTAGTCAGTGGCACTTTGACGAGGGAGCCAAGACCCCCCTGAAGATTGTAAGCAGCATTCTTCTGCTTCATTTCTGTCACCAAAGTGAGAGAGATGTGAGTCCCAGGAGGGCACACGCGCCAGATGGTAGATTTGGGTTGGTTGCACATCTGCCGAGTTTCACTGCCCTGCCCTCTCTCAGAGGTTTGTGGAAGCAAAGAGTGGGCTGGAGGGGCTCATCGGGAACACGGCCCAGGTTGGTCTTCGGTGCCGTGGCCTCTGCAGCCGCCGTCTGGGCTCGTGAGACCAGCTGTATTTCCATGTCCTTGGCCGCAGTCCTCACTGATGCAGACTCCCAGGCTGTGTGGGGTCCTCGCTCTGGCCGCCTGCCTCGGGGTGACAGACAGAGGAGCTAGCGCTGTCGTGACACATCTTCCAATTTTCTCTGCAGACCCAAATAATTGTCATAGAGCAGTGTGTCTCCCCTTCAGAAGCTATAAATGATTGTATTTGATGAAAATATACCTTTCATTTCCTTGATATTAAGAGGAAGAGATATTAAAGTAGAGTATAAATCAGGGCTAATAGACAACTAGCCACTTCGGTATATTTTTCTTCTTCCATTTGGCTTGGAAAGAAAGCACAAATTCTATTTATTGGCCGGTTTTATGTTGATGGCTGTTGCCCCCACAGAACGCTCGGCTCCACGAAGGCAGAGGCACGCGCGCGCGCGTGTGTGTGTGTGTGTGTGTGTGTCTGGCCTGGGAGGGAGGGGTCAACAGTGACCCATGTGTTGGGGTGAGCAGGCACGGCTGGATGTAGAGCCTGGCTTTGGGGCGCAGTGCCCCATGGTCAGAGCCCTGGAGGACACAGTGACATCTGACTGCCAGAATCTGCTAATGGTGGGGCGGTGTCCAAACTAGCCCACTAGGGCCGTCCCTCCGTGAGCACCGAATAGCCCAGCAGATCCCAGAGAGAAGCTGCTCCCCGGAAGTGACCCTGGGCATCAGGCAGGCAGCGGCCTCTCAGCAGCCTTGGCCCCCACCGCTGATCCCCTCTGGCCAAGAGGCTGCTCGCAGGCATTCACCTGGTGGCCGGCTGGGAGTTGGGGGGGGTGGCACGTGGGAGAAGAACACCAGAGTCCCTCTTGCTCAGGTCCTCCCCAGCCCTTCCTAACTTTTTTCTAAACGGAAGGG